GGCAGGACCACCATCCACACTCCCTTCACCCTCCAGGAAGGTGAACTCTGAGTTTACACACCGAGAACATGCTACCATGAAAACCTTGGCATGGCCAGACCATCTCCTCAGACTAAGCAGAGGGCAGGTAAGAGCCAGCCTCCAACGCCCAGAGCTGCAGCCTCGGATCCTGCTAACGGCTTACAGAAGTTTGTTCGCAGCGTTCTAGAACGTACAGGGGTCCCAGCCTGGGATTGCTCTAGCTCCATCTTCTTGGTCACTTCCACCCCCACCTTTCCTGTTGCTGAGAAACAAGAGTGAGAAAGGAAGGCAGGAGAGTTTCCAATGGAAAAGCATACACATGGACCAAATGAACAGACAAGAAGAAGTCACTGAGTTGCATTCGAAGCTTTATTCTTGCCAAAGTTTGGGGGTTGCGCTAACTCTGGCAGGCGGCCTTGGTAAAGAAGCAAAGTGCGGGGGTGAAGAAGCGCTGAGGGGCTGCATCACTGGGGAACAGGGGAGGGAGCCAGGGGCAAGCGAAGCTCCTGGAGGTGGAACAGACGGTGCATTCGGGAGGCAGCGGAGTTGTTCTGTGTTTAACAGCAGCAGTCGTCTTCAGAGTCACAGCAGCGGTCACAGCAGGCCGGGCCTCGGGACCTCATGGGAATAATTCCCAAACAGCAACACTCGGAACAGCCGCACCCAGAGCAGCAGCCGCAGCCGCTGTCTTCACAGCAGCCCGAGTTGCAGTTCTGGGGCCGCTGCACCCAGCGTCTCAGGGGACTCACCCCAAAGGTCCGGGGAGCCACGCAGCTGTAGCTGGTGGAACAGGGAGCCGAGCACGGATCAGGGACACAGCACTGGGCTGCCGAACCACCTGCAGGAGCCTGAGCGTAGTAGCTCTGGTACGAAGAAGGGTACTGGACGTAGTACATCGGGGTCTGATACGGAGCTGCGTATTTCACGTAGGTCGTCTGGCACGGAGCTGGGCACTTCACATACGTCTGGCAAGGAGCTGCACATTTCATTAAGGTTTGCGTTGGGCACGGAGCTGGGCACTTCACGCAGGTTTGAGGTGGACACGGAGCTGGGCACTTCACGCAGGTTTGAGGTGGGCACGGAGCTGCGCATTTCACTAAAGTTTGCGTTGGGCACGGAGCTGGGCACTTCACGCAGGTTTGAGGTGGACACGGAGCTGCGCATTTCACGTAGGTTTGCGTTGGGCACGGAGCTGCGCATTTCACGTAGGTTTGCGTGGGGCACGGAGCTGCGCATTTCACGTAGGTTTGCGTGGGGCACGGAGCTGCGTATTTCATGTAGGTCGTCTGGCACGGAGCTGGGCACTTCACATATGTCTGGCAAGGAGCAGCGCATTTCACTAGGGTTTGCGTTGGGCCCGGAGCTGGGCATGTCACGCAGGTTTGAGGCGGGCCTGGAGCTGCGCATTTCACAGCGGTCATGTTGGTGCTGTCCACAGCCCCCAATCCCAAACCTTTCACACAGGATGGAGGGAACTGCACCTGCTTCTGCTGCTCACACATCTTTCTGTGGCTTTGCAAAATCTGCAAAGAAAGGTGTCATCAGAGCTAGGAAGGTTTCCAGGGATGCAGCCAGCATTCCCTGTGCATGGAGTGGTCTGTAAGCAGTAGTCTTCCCAGAAGTTCACAGGCACCCAGAAGCTGTGCGCTGACATCAGGGCAGGCTCAGAGCCCCCGATCCTAGGGTCAGCTCTTGTGCCTTCACCCGGCTGTGTGACTTTGGACAAGCCACCGCTCACCTCTGGGCTTCAGTTTCCACAATGAAAAATAAAGGGCTTGCAAGAGTGACATCTGCCTTTCTACTCAACCCTCTAAGCCTCCTGTCTCCTTGCTCCAGTGTCTGCCTTGTAAATGCTCCTTGGGAAATTGCTCTTTCCTGGGTGATGACACCTTGCCACCAGGCTTTCCTTCGTCCTTCCCAACCAGGCAAATCCGTGTCAATAGACCTGAGCCAACACGAGTCTCACGCTGAGCCTGGAGGGGCCAAATCTGAGGGAGTTTCCGCCATTTGCTCCTTGGCTCAGCTCGACTATCACTTTACCTCACTCATGCACCCAAGAGAGGACTGCGCAACTGCACTCAGAGAGAGAGAGGGCGGCGACCTGGTCCTCTGAAAATCCCCTCCCCGCAGGCCCGATGGCCAGCTCGCACCTCTTCCTCTCCTCCAATGCTCCAGGCTCAGCGCTTCCTACCAGCTACTGCCATCAGTCTCCTTCAACGGCTGTCCTGTGTCTAGTCCTCACCACCCTCATCCCCTGCTTCTCCGCGTCAACGTCACCAAGGCTCTCTTTCATGCTGTGTCGTTATCCCAGGCATGGGGACTTACCCTCTTGGTGACGGGAGCAAGACTGGAAGAAGTCAGTGATCTGAGCAACTGGTAGTCGGGGAGACCTTTTATAGGGCAAAGAGGGCAGCAGTGAGGCAATTTAATGGCATCTGAATGAAGCAGCAGACATCATGAGGACGAGGGCTGGCATTGCATTGGCGAGATTCCTCCCCCGTGTGCCGGGCTCTACCAGTCACAGGCAGGGTGTGGCTCCGCCTGGCATTGAATTTTCCCAAACATGAGATAAATGACTCCTGTTGCCTGAAACAAGTCGGTCTTCTTTTTCTAGAATTTGGGAGAGATACCTGTGAGATCTGTCTCTATGAAGCTGTTTCTAGGTCACTTGAGTGTTCAAGGACTTGTCCAAGATATGAGTATGGTTGGTCTCTCCATTTTTCATCTGTTGTGCCAGAAGTGACGCTGCATTTCCCCAGCCTAAGTGGTATGTTCTTTCTGAGGGCTTCCACGGTGGCTCCTCTGGGTCTGGGTTGCTGGACACAAAAAGTTTGGCTCAGTGGTCTCTGCCTCAATATGGCAGCAAAGCCCTCAAGAAATGGTTTGTTTCATGGCCTGGCAGGTTATTCTGGGCTTATTCAGGAAATAAGGGCGAGTGCTGGATAATTCCAGACCTCAGTCTCTATATCTAGGCTGTCTATTCTCACCTTCTCGTGCCCTGTGACCTCCTCCATTCTCACCTTTTCATGCCCTGTGACCTCCCCATTCTCACCTTCTCATGCCCTGTGACCTCCCCCATCCTCACTTTCCTAGGCCTCACTACCAGGCCTAGACCCCCTAGAGCTCAGCACAGGAGAAATTCCAGCCAAATGAACACTACGGTAACAATAATAGTAGAATCTAACATTTTCATTGAAACGCTTTTGATGTGCCAAGCAGTTCACGAGGCGCATATGGTCTTTACAGATGGTTCGGTCACTGAGGCCCTGAAAGATTAAGAAGTGACCCACTGTCACAACGCAAGCAAGTAGAGAAGCTAGAATTCCAGGGCGGCCAGCCTGCTTTCGTCACTACAATACACTGCCTTTTGTCTGGGGACGTAGCATCACCCCTCCATCTCTGCCCTTTCCTTTCCCCAGTGCAGCGTGCATAGGGAGAGGGCAATAACCTGTACTGAGCGCTTCCTGTGTACTGAATATGGCCGTACTTCTTACCTGTGCACCTCAGTAATCTTCACAATAACCCTGGGAGGTAGGCTATGTTGGCCCTATTTTTACAGAAAAGGAAACTAGGACCC